AGATCCATGGGCTTCTGCAGACACGCCTGGAAAATAGCACCTTCCTCCTGCGGCTCGGCAGGCGGCTAACTCTTTTTAAGTTTTTTTTAACAGCTGCTGACATTTGCTTACAGACTTGGTGGGTTTGCCGACAAATGTCCGGCAAAAAGATGAAAATTGCCAGTGTGAGCATATGCCCTATGGGGAATTTGGAGTTGTTCATCAGCCAAAATTTGTTTGTCATTTCTTTGTGGTCCCCCCCCCCCCCCCCCCCCCCCCCCCCCCCCACCGCCAACCGCCAATACACAGCCCCAGCGTTGCTGAAAAGAAACTCATCACCCATCCGAAAAAAAGTTGGGTCCGGGCTGCTGTTGATAAATTCCGCCGGCGGTGTTTGTCGCGTTCCGGCCTGCGAAAGGGGCCCGCAGCCGATTTACGGCGTGTACTGGCGGTTTACGAGGTGACAGCCTTGAGGCATCATCATCCAACTGACCAGCCCCAGGTCTCTAACTTTTTTGAAAGGTTTTTCTCTCCATTTGATCACTCCAATGAGGATTCGAACTGAGGTCTGTTTATAAACAGTTCATGGATCTCCCATTCGGCGCACGTGGGCCGGGTAAGATTGTTTGTAAACAATGTAAAGTATCTATTTTATGTTTTTGCACATCTTTTTCCCCCTGGTGTTGTTTTTGTTCAACGTCTTTGATTATTGGGATTTTTTTTCGGAGGCCCCTGAAAGATGCGTTGTTTCGCTGGGTGCCCCTAAAAGACTTTTTTTTTTTTTTTTTTTTTTAAGCCCTTGTGTAAGCCCTCCCCAGTGGTGGTAAGAGAACCATCAGAATTGAGGGCTTATCTGCCGGGCTGCTCCGTCTATTGGTGGGGAGCGGCACCTGCTGGAAACCGGGTCAGCGTCCCATTGATACATCTTTTGTGCCCCTAAAAACCTAAAAGACTGGTTATTCACCGAATGCACTCTTGACATTGGTCAAATTTGCCGAATATCCGTGATCGGGATTTGACCCGACATCTTTTTTTCCATATGCCCCTACGGGCTGCCGGTTCAACTGTTTTAGTGGTCACGGATCAGGCCTGTGGTGCAAAGTAAAACGATTCTGACAGGGGCAAGTCTCAAAAGATTACAAGTGAGAAGGACATTCCGCGAATATCCAAATTTGGGGGCATGTGACGAAATACTGCTTCTTTTAGGTGCAGAGCCCCCCGTCAAGCAAATTAATTCTCCCTTGTTTTGGCCGTGAATTGTACAAAACTTTTTTTTTTTTACACTACATACAACGTCGCAATAACAGTCGAAATGTCAATCAATGCCTCCACTGAATTGGTATTCAGTTTGCGAACCGCGTAGCTTTGGAAAATCCAGAGTCTTATCCTTAATGCAAGGAACATGAATATGGACGAAGCACAGAAATCCAGAATGCAAAWYCACACTGAAGTCCAAGTAGTCAAAGCCAAAGCAGATAGCACAATGGAACCGAGTAACCATCCAATTGAGAATGATACAGAAGAATCGTGAGTCAATGTCCATGCCCAACAGGGCAACACCAACAGCATAACCCAAATGTAGCTCTCTCTTGTGAATGGCGCCAGGCGCCCTATCTACTCTAAAGCCTAGCCTACAACTACAGCAATGAAAGCAACCAGACAACTTGACTACCAGCGAGTGATGATGTCAACACCAATGCCGACCTCCACCTCCACCAGGTACGTGTCCTCTTCATCCACACTCTCCCTTGTACCCACACAGCGCCCTTCACCTCCGAAGACCACCTTCGCCCTCACCTCCCCTGCGCCTGCCAGCAGCCCGGCTATTTCCGCCAGCGCCCTGCGCCCAGGCAGCGCTCCACCGCATTAGCGCTAGCCTGCCACACTCAGCCAGCGCAGCTTTTCACAGCGCAGCACACCCGCAACCGCGCAGCGTGCCGTCAATGCCTGCATTGGCCAAGCTCCCTGCCCACTCGCCCTGCTTGCCTATATGCCAGTGCTGCGTGTGGGCAGCCTCCCTTCAGCCTGCGACTGGGCCCCAGAGGCTGAAGCCAGCCCGATACAGTTGGCCCCGGGGCAATGCAGTTGCGCCTTTTTCATCAAGGCCTGCGGCCAGATTCAGATACTGGGCCGATTTCCCTTTGGCATTTTCGGCCTCTATACCCAGCATGGATTGTCGGCCTCTCGTTCGAGTGCCCAGGGCCTAACTAACTCAGAGGCCCTGGGCTTTCAGCATTTGCTGAAATCCGAGACTCGGTGCACTCCAACCAACTGGCGTGCTGCAACTGTATGGACCCCACTTCGTGAAATGTTGGCACAGAGGGCTCTTGTTGATTTCCTGGCCCGCCTTCACTTAGGGCGGGCATGAGGCTTGCTGGGGCCTTAACCCATATCATGAACATCATGGCAGGGCCCCTACTTGAGGGCTCAATCTTTACATTACGTTATGGTTCAAAAAAAAAAAAAAAAAAAAAAAAAAAGAAGAAGTCCTTCCGGACATCCGTTAAAATTGGAACGATACAGAGAAGATTAGCATGGCCCCTGCGCAAGGATGACACGCATAAATCGAGAAATGGTGAAAAAAAACCAAAAAAAACAAAAAAAGAAGAAGAACTAGAAGAAGAAGAAGAAGAAGAAGCTATGGTTCACTGGGTATGAGATGACATGAGACCATCGCAAACATGACAAATGAAATTGGATGCGCATGATTCGGGGAAAGCATATGCACTCTGCGGCACAGCATCCAGAGATGAGCCCCAACTATTTCCTAAATCAGAGACCGACAACTAACGGGACATGGGAGGTTGGGAACAGGTCCTATGGACTCCGACCAAAATAGGGACCACAAAGCAAACAGGGTGTTTTTCCTAAAGTTGAGATATACCATGCGGCGTGCGCTTCTCGGGTTTTGCGTCAACAATTTGCTATGGGCAAGGATGTGCTTCTTGGGTCGAGCATCAAAAGGGTCTATAATGGCAATCATCATTCTCTTTCCACTTTTGCCTGAGCAAAGGATGATGGTGCGACTCGGCAAACGGATGAAAACCCTCAGATGCTTAACCCCTTATTCCAGCTTACATAAGGCATCCAGTTAGGCCATTCATCTTAGAAACAATGCCTAACCCTTTGCCATAGTTATACACGAACAGGTTGCATAACTACTCTCTCTCTCTCTCTCTCTCTCTCTCTCTCTCTCTCTCTCTCTCTCTCTCTCTCTCTCTCTCTCTCTTTTTTTTTTTTTAACTTCCCTCTTCATTGGGCATGTGACTAGGAGGCAGTGAAAAAATGAAAATGTCAAATTGTGCATTCATTTCAATCATTTGCTCATTCGAGACACTACCTGGTTGTTTGCTGTGTGTAACAGGGGATGAGGTACTTCGACGACTCGAATGTTGACAGGGACCCAATGTTCACCGCACACAATTGGCAGTTTGAAGCTCTGTTCTTGAGGATTCTTCATCTAGCGAATAGGGGGATAATCTGCACCGGTTAGGGATAGGTAAACAGTTTCTAAGACCCACCCAGTCTGCAGAAGTCCGCAGAACTCTCTCTCTCTCTCTCTCTCTCTCTCTCTCTCTCTCTCTCTCTCTCTCTCTCTCTCTCTCTCTCTGTGTTCTTTGTGAATCTGCATGTAGCAAAGAGGGTTATAATTTGTACTGTAACTACCGTTTACAGATAGGTAAACACGTAAAACTCTCTCTCTCTCTCTCTCTCTCTCTCTCTCTGGGTGTGTGTGTGTGTGTGTGTGTGTGTGTTCTTTGGGAATCTTCGTGTAGCAAAGAGGGGTATAATTTGTACCGTAACTATCGTTTAGGAGAGAGGTAAACAGTTTGTCATACGCACACAGTCTGTACAATAAATGCTGGAGTTTTGTGTTGGTGCTATTGGCATAGAGTGCCATGCACTTATGCTAGAATTTTGGAGTTCCAAAGGGAACGCATGCACCGCTTCTGGGTGTTGATGCGACCTGTAGAGGACCACGCCGTTAACAGCGTATATAGACCTCGGAAGTCTTGCACATTCAGTACAACCTTCAGATCACCTCTGCCTATGCTAGTCCCTCTCTTCCTTGTGCCCCTCTTTCCTGTTATAACAGAAACGTTCAACTCGTCTCTCGCTTTGGGTTTTCGATAAATAGGCTTGGCAGGCAGGTCAACGATAAAGTGACTCAACACAGTCAAGCTCAGTTGAGTCAGTTGAGTCAGTTCTTGTGATGTATAATGGGACGCTGGACCCGTTTTCCAGCAGGTGCTGCTCCCCACCAATAGATTGGAGCTATTCATTTAAAAAAAGAACAGAAAGAAAGACAACTGGTGAGCCAACGTTTAGCACACAACAGCACAGATACATCCTGAGGAGGAGTAGGGGAGGGAAATGGAAGAGGAGGAGGGGGAGGAGGAGGAGAAGGACAGGACGGACGATAGAGAGGGGAGGAGGAGGAGAAGGACAGGACGACAGAGAAAGGACGAGGAGGAGAAGGACAGGACAATGGAGAAAGGAGGAGGAGGAGGAGGAGGAGGAGGACAGGAGAATGGGAAAGGGAGGAGGAGGTTGTTCGAGTCACAGGTAGTTTTCATATCTGCCCCATTCAGTGAGAGGTAGGGCAACCAATGATACAAAAGTGAGGGGTTCTTGTACATTTTTCGCACAATTCCATGTATCATGGAGGTTCTCGTGATTACATATTCCATGTACCATCAACAAAACCGCATGTCCTATAACTTATAAAGGTCGTTAACATAGTTAAAACTTCATAAATAAACTTAGTGATTCAATGAAATCATCATGTAAAAAAGAGAATCGAGTCTCCCATGGGCAAGAAACGTCCATAATGCTCCATATTGATTGGCAGGGCCTTGAGATGTCGTGGTACTACTCACCCCTTCACAATCCACCGTCTTCGTAAGATGGCATCTAGGTAATTAGATCACAATCACAATCTAGGTAATTAGATCACAACTTCACACACTTCCCCCTCTCCAATTGGAAGAACCCCACAAGGGGTATGCACCAGGTGGATCAGCACAGAACAATTAGGGTCTTAGGGTGGACCCCCGCACGCCCACTTTGGGGTGGAGAACCCCCACGTTGTTATTTTCTTTTTTCCACTCTCCAATAGGAAGACCCCTCCCCACAAGGGGTATGCACCAGGTGGGTCACTACAGAACAATTAGGGTCGTAGGGTGGACCCCCCGCACGCCCACGGTTGGGGTGGAGAACCGCCACGCTGTTATTTTCTTTTATATCTTCACTTCTTGTGATCGGTCAGGCCTCACCAGGGGAACGACAGGGCTGCCCAGAACCTGAACAGCACCCCAGCTCTGCTAATTTAATGGAAGGCCAGGGGAGGGCAAATTATAATTCCGGACGTTGGATGCAGCCAGGCTGCCGGAGCACACTACGTCAAGCAGCACTAGTAGGAGAGGGCAGCATCTAGCATCCAGCCAGCGGCAGCAATAGCTGCGCTGAGATGGAAGACCAGCACCATAGTTTTGGGCACTGAGGTGTAAGAGGGAGGTGGTGCTAGTGAGGGAGATACTTAGCTGCTGAGGAGACAGGGGTTGGTGAAGGACCTGGTGGGCCCCGAGAAGAGCTCACTCCAGCATGACATGTTCTTCCAGCAGCCATCGGTGCGAGCAGCACAGTACTCCACCGCGCTGTACTGTATAGTATATAGGCTAGGGCAAATTATAGAGTAGGTCATAATACCTTCTGCCGGTACACAGACCGGCAATGCTGCCTAACCGTGTTATTGTTGCTTTTTTTTTTACTTCTTTGGGAGTCGAGAAGGGGGATTTTCTTGAATGAAGCAGCTTCAACATTATCTACAGATTCTACACTTGTACTGGTGCCCTCGTTGCTTTTCTTTTTGTTTCAGGATATATATATATATAGGGTAACCGGCGTTCGGGACGGGCCGAACGCCCGAACCCGAACGCCCGAACGTATGGGACCCCTTGGGGATGCGTTCGGCCGTTCGGACCGAACGCGGACCCAAAAAAAAAAGAAAAAAAGAAAAAAAGAAAAAAAAGTCATCAAAAAACTCTGAAAAAAAGATATGTTATGGAGAAAAATAAATTAAACAAGATTTGCCTGAGCATTACATCCGAATTCCTTACCAAATTTGAAATAAAAATAAAATACAGAAAACAAATACTAATAATAAAATAAATAAACATAAAAACTATTAAAAAGAGAATTAAATTTGGTGAGTGCGCGAGCACGTTTTCGACACCGCCATCTTTGGCGATTTTTCTTTTTTTTTTTGGCATAGCTAAATGCCCTGAAAATTTACAGATGTGTACTTCACATAATACAAAACCCACTAAAAAAGTTTCAAAAAATAATAAAATTGTTTAGAACCCGAACTAAAGTGAAAACAGAAAGTAAAAAGTGAAAAAATACGTGGGCGAGCACGTTTTGACATCGCCATCTTTGGCAATTTTTAATTCTTATTTGGCTTAGCCAAATGACTTGAAAAGTTACAGGCATGTACCTCACGTCATAGAGAACTCACAAAAACAAATTCAGAAAAAAATAGTTACTTTGAGGCCCCGAAATAATTTTTGGCGGGGGACGAACGCCGTCGGGTTCGGACCCCGTACGAGACCCCGAACGCCCGTACGTACGGAGGTCTGCCCGGGGACCTCCGTACGAATTTGGCTATGTCGAATAAAGAATCTTGCATTCTTATTGAATATTTTGAGTGAACCATCTCCCAGAAGAGATCCTAAAATAATTGCTTTACATTGATCCGACAAAGATATTTGTTTTAATTTTTTACGAGACAAATTGATTGCTGACGTACTTGTTAAAACTGTAACCAAGTATGGAGTCCTATTTGTGCGGATTTTCCTACAGCTCCAATAAAGAGTAAAACACAAATAGCAGTTAGTGCATGAATTTTCATATTAAAAAAAATGAAAGCGCATGTATCAACACATATATATATATATATATCCTCACAAACAGAACTGCCCGGTGAACCGTAGGCAGAGAGAGAGAAGAGGACAACAAACGAGGGGCTGTGACAAACTGTTTCGTCGGAGTTTCACCGACTCATCAGGAGGCTGAACCCTCAACAGTCTGCAGAATCCCCTCACTGAATACACTGT